AGAGAGGGAGGTGAGTGGAGAGAGAGAGGGAGAGAGAGGGAGAGGGAGAGAGAGAGAGAGAGAGAGAGAGAGAGAGAGAGAGAGACATCAATGATAAAAGAGAATCATTCATTGGTTGCCACCTGCATGCCCCCTCCAGGGGATTGAGCTTGCAACCCAGGCATTTACCCTGATCAGGAATCGAACCATGACCTCCTATTTCATAGGTAAATGCTCAACCACTGAGCCACGCCAGCAGAGCTACCTATTTTAAATTCTTTCTTCCATATTATGTGAAAGGAAACAACAGAAATCATACTTCACCTGTGAATCACAGACAAAGAAATCCCCAAGGCTTTTCAAGTTATCCTTTACCTATCAGGTTAAAATAAAAGTTGTTTTAGCCCTGGCCGGGTGGCTCAGTTGATTAGAGTCTTGTCCTAGTCACCAAAAGGTTGCAGGTTTGGTTCCCAGTTGGGCGCCCCTACAGGGGACAACTGATCGATGTTTCTCTCTCACATCAATGTTTCTCTCTTTCTCTCTTCCTTCCTCTCTTTAAAATTCAGTAAAAGCATATCCTCAGATGAGAATTAAAAAGAAAAAAAAAAAGGTTTTTTAAAGCTTAGAGCCCTGGGACATATTTTTTAAATCCTCACCCAAGGATATTTTTCCATTTTTTTTTTCTTGTTTTGAGAGAGTGGGAAGGAGGGGGAGAAAAAAACATTGTTGACTGGTTGCCTTCCACGGGGTTCCTGACCTGGGCATACTGCAACTGAGGTACCTGCCCTTGATTAGAATTGAACCCAGGACCCTTCAGTCTCTGGGCCTACTCTCTATCCACTAAGCCAAATCTGCTAGGGTCTTGGAACATTTAACAGAGCCTGGCCTAGAAGCCACTAACTAGATATTTCCTTTTATTCTATGCCCTACTATTCCTCCCCACATTAAACAAAAATTTATAGTATAAAGTAGCATTCGCCAACCTTTCAGACCTCACAGACCACCAGTGGTCCATGGACCACCAGTTGGCGACTGCTGGTATAAAGCCCATAACATGAGATCTACCCTCTTAACAATTAAGCATACATTACAGTATCAGGCAGCTAACCCTCAGTAGGGCTCAAGATCAACAGGGTGGGGTGACAGGTAATCCAGAGGGTGGGGCTATTGCTTTCCCCCAGGGGAGTGTGCCACCCAAGAAAGATGGCATCTGTGTTATTAGAGAATGACTCAGGACAGGTTCCTGGTGGCTCTCTCCCCAGAGCCACAAACCCAGTCTCTCCTCATAGAACTATAGTCCATGCCATCCTCCCTTCCTCTGCCAGAGCCCAGGGTAGTGGTTATGAATGAGATGGGCGGGGCAGCCTGGCTTGCAGTTGACACCCCACCCTTCTCAGGGGGAACCTTTGCAGCTGAGAGCTCTCTCCAGAATCTCAGCTACCAGCCCTTTTCATGTCTCCACTCTCCCTACCAGTCTCAATGTGGCTTCTTCTGTAAGTCCTTGGTTATAAGACGTCTCTTCAGCTAGTCTTCAGTTGGTTATTCAGGTAGATTGCTCTATATTTTAGTTGTAATTCCAGTTTGGTCCTGGGAGGAGGTGAGTGTACCATCTACCTACTCTGTCACCATCATTGGATCCTCTAGGAGGGAAAAATTTTTTAAACATGTTTTTATTGATTTTAGAGAGAGAAGACAGGGGGGGAGAGAGAAACATTGATGAGAGGGAATCATTGATCGGCTGCCTCCTGTATGCCCCCTACTGGGGGTTGAGCCCAAAACCCCGGCATGTGCCCTGACTGGGAATCAAACCAGTGACCTCTTGATGCATGGGACAATGCTCAATCCTCTGAGCCACACTGGCCAGGTGGGAGGGAATTCTTTTTAAATATTGAAATAAAGATTTAAAAGAACTCAAAAAAAAAAGATTTAAAAGAACTCCATTTTTGTTTTGCTTATGTGGGATTTATGTTTGAAATAAAAAATTCTCATTTCACTTTTATTTTAGACAAAAAAAATCCATTTTATAATAATGGTTCATTTGTATCAACTTTTCTTGTCATATAACAAAGATGCTTCCTGCTTCTTTACATTTATCCTTTCAAATACATGAATTCACCCAGAATCTTCCTCTCCATAGCTTCCCCTCTGTTGCTTCTACACATTATTCTTTCAATTATACATCAAACATAAAACATCGTTGAGGTCCCTATTCTTTCTCTATACCAGCACTTAATTTTCTACAGGCTTTGCAGACAAATGATAATCAGCACTAACTTTAATTATGACATGATATAAAAATGGCCTCTTTAATTGTTTTTTTTTCCTTTCTTTTTCCCCTCCAAATTAACAGGCACCTTGGGTGAAAAGTAAATACAATTTGTACTTGGGTACAAATATTGAGTATTTTTTTCAGAAAACCGTTATTTAACTAGGTAGGTTGAAATAATATACTCAGGTTAAGGTAAAAGTAATGCATTGATTTTATGCATGATGAATATTTTGCTGTTAGGAAATTTGTAGGTAAGAATTTGCTTTAAAGTTTCTAAACTTACCTTTACCTGTTATTTCATAATCAAAGTGTTTCATATGTATATTCTAATGGTGTTTTAAAATTGTTTCTGATTCTTTAGCGTCACCCTGTGATCCCACTTTTATCCTGGGCTGTGCTCCCTGCAATGTGATCTGCTCCATTATCTTCCAGAAGCGTTTTGATTATAAAGATAAAGTTTTTCTGGACATAATGGAAAGGCTTAATGAAAGTGTCAAGATTCTGAGCTCTCCATGGATTCAGGTGAGGCCAAGATTATTTCTTCACATCTTTATGGAATCCTTTATGCTCTTTTCTCCAAGAAGTCCACGTGTGTGTGTGTACCAAGCCGTGAAGTGAATGGGTGAATGCCATAGTCCTTCCCAGAGCTTAGCATCATGAAGTGCTCATCTGGGAAATTGGGCCGACCCCTTTAATGATAGACCAGAAGAGAAATGCCCAGAATACAGATCTGGAATTCAACCCCATTGACCCTGTCCAGATTATTCCTGCTAAATTCCAAAGCCCAATTTCCCATATAGTACTTTGATATGCCTATAGTACTAAATGGACTTCTGGGTTCCTCTTGAAAGGATTCCATTACACACAGGTCTTGTCATCAAGTCAACACTTGGTGACTTCTTCAGTACATTAGTTGACAGAAATATATATGTTTAGGGAGTAAGAGAATATCTCCTTCAAGAAGGGAGAATATTTGGGGCCACAAATGCCGCTAAGGAACACTATTTGATGCTTTAGTTGGCATCCTAACTGACACGGTAATTGTTTGGGGGATGACAAAATGATTGGGTACATGGTGTATGAACCATACACAAACATCACAAGTTTACCCTGTCCGAGTTGACATGTTCTGTACTCTGCCTAAAAGATAGTGATGTGGTCTTAAAGAAGTCACTTAACTGCCCTGTGCAGTTACTTCATATATAAAATGTTGAGTTGTGTTTCGTGGTTACCACCAGGACCCTCCCAGTTCTAAGATACTGATGCGTCTGAGGCCACTAGACAGAAATAGAAACAGCAAGGTTACATTTTGTGCGCTGTATCAGGTTGCCTAAACTCCCTCCCCCCTGTTGTCATCTACAAAATGTGAATCATAGTATTTCATGCCATCCCATATTTCAAGATTTCAGGGAAGAATTGATGTAGAAAATGAGAGAACTGATATGCACCTGTTTTTATACTGTAAGCATGATAGATGCATATAGAAGTGATTATCATCTTTGCTACTCTGGTCAGAACTTTCTTCCTCAAATTCACCTATC